AAATGAGACACTATTGAGTTATATTAATATGTTATTACAGGAGTGATTGGGTCCATTATTATGAGAACACTACTAGAGATTTACGTGTCTATTCTGCCTATCCATTGCTAGTCTATCCAACTCATTTTGCTGGTGATAAAGGATGGTACAGTGACACAGGTTAGCCATTACTAGTATATACTATGGTATCAGTAATCACAATAGTAGATATGATAAATTTTATTTTTATTTTCAGAGCCACCAATTGAGGTACTGCAGGAGATTTGTAAAAGAAAGTTAAAAGAAGAAGAGGAGGAAGCAGCAAAGAAGGAAAGAGAGAAAGAAAAGGAAAAGACAGAACTGTAATGAACTACTATTATTAGGTGAAATGTACATACATGTATTCAAATGGCATATTATTATTGTTGTTGTTATTTTCATAATTAACAAGACATCATTTAAAATAGCAGTGCATGTAGATTACAATGTTCTCATAAGAGCACAGCTAGATCTAGTCTAGTATGTGAGGGCTCCACTTGCATCTGGTAATGTGGGACTAAGCACACGATTGACTGCTCATGAAACTGCTACCTTGTCTTTTCACATAGACAAGGCGAAAATATAAGCAAATAGCAACCCTGTCTGTATACATGTCCATTGGGATCATGGTGTATGTGAGCCTAATCAAGCAAAGCAATGTACAAGTCTAGATACTGTAGATTTTTATGTACTAATGTATGGTTGAGTCTTTAGTCTATAGTTTATGGTAGCTAGTAAGTATGGCAGGCTCACTGTGAGAGATTATATATCGTTGAGTTAACTTTACCCCCAAATACTGATAATTAATAATAGAGTATGCAATACAAGCTCAGATTGTGTGGAATATTTATGAGTTCTGTGATGTGTCTATTAGAACAAGAGGAAGTGAGTGCAACAATTCAGTTCTCTGCATATTCTATATTATAATAATGTAATGATCTGTAATGATGGATTCTTTATTAGTTTGTGTTGATGTCATTCATGGTTGTTGTTGATTTTGTCATTTACCAATTTTACTTATGAGCAACTAGTAGATCCTGCCTCTGATTGATTTTATCAGCAATTGAGTTTAATTCAGTGTATGACTAAAGCCCAACATACACTATGCAACATTTGTTGCAAACAAAATGTTGCATGCAACACAGTTTATATAGGAGTCAATGGAGCTT